AAAGAAAATTGTGACGAATACTATGCTCAGTTTCTTTGGATGCGACAACTATTTATTTTGGATAGCATTCCTGAAACATTAAAACAGGATAAAAAATAGTTTTTAATAGAACTATCATGTGATGGGGGTTTGAAAATAGAGTTTTCAAAATTAGAGTTAGCCGAATTCTGGCTAAATATTAAAAGTGAATATCCAGCCTTATCAAAAAAAGTATTGTTATTTTTACGACCGCCTACCTGTGTGAAACTGGATTTTCTACTATGCTACAAGTGAAAAATAAATTTCGCAGTAGCTTTAATATTGATCCAAATTTACGAATGAAACTAAGCACAATTGATCCTGATATCGATTCACTTGTTGTAGCTATGCAGAACCATCCTTCTTACTGAATTTTTGGACTGGGTTAGAGTGTAAGTTTTATTTTGTAACATTTATAATGCCCCATTTTAAATAAATACAGAATTTATATAAGTGGTACGTGTAAAAAAAAGTTTAAGAATCCCTGATGTATAACTTAACTTGTGTTTACAATTTCTTAATATAATTTTATGTAATATATTTTATTTTTAAATAATCCTTATTTTGACAAATCATAAATGTCATTTATTGACATCTGGTTTAAGAAATCGCCGAATTGCCAACCAACCTCACATTTAAAGTCCATAACCTTCCCAGTAGAAGTTTTCTCGCTGGCTTGCTAATAATGTCAATAATTCATAGAAAAAAGTGAGAATTGTTTTTATTTAATCACATTTTACTCGATTTTTGTAGATTTTATTGTATTATAATAATTGAATTATAATAATTTTTATTAATTCTAATTTATTGTTCTTAATTTAATTTACTAAAGGTTCAATATTTATAACACAAACTTAATTTACTTAAAGTTTATTTATAATAATTTATCTTACAATAATTTATTATTACGACCGTTACATTTAACTACCCGTTCGCGATTTTCTTTTCTAACTGCTGGCCGCAATAAAAGCTCCGTTATTATATATGAAAATACAGCTATTCGAGAGTTCAGGCGAATCCCTCTGATTATACTAGGCTGGGTCATCATTCGACCGGTTTCTGGAAACTTCGAATCGTAGCGGAGCGACCGTTTCATGTAGATTTCTGCCAGCTGATCGAAGGGTCTCGTAGAATCTACAACATAGTGAATAAACAACATGTTTACAGGTTTTTTTTAATATGACTAATTTTTACGTAACAGTATTAAGCCTCAAAAATATTTTTCAGTTTTTTAACTTTCTTTTCTTATATTTAATTGCAAATATTCTCATTTGCAGGATATTTCAATAGAACGCCCGGGATGGACGTTTCTGCTGATATTGGCAGGAACTGCAACAACCATAGGACTGTCATTACCAGTAGGCTACAATATTGGCGTTGTAAATACCCCTGCACAGGTAGGTAACATTATAATGCAATCTGTTTTAAATTTTATTGAGACAAGAGTGATATGCCGCTTTAATTATTTGTTAGTACCTGCCATTATACGCCCCTCCCCTTCACACACTCTCTCTCTTTTTCTCCGCTGCTTACATGATTTGTCTCTATCTACACTTAGGTCTATCATATACTTTCTCTAATCTTGTATTCCCATGGTACTCCATACACACTTTGAGCTTATTTGTAATGTACCGTTTTGTGCATTTTAAAACGTTTTATTTTGTATTTTTCATAATCATTCATAATAATAAAATAAATCTGCATAGAAAACGAAAAATGTATGGTAAGAAACTATGGGATAGAGTTAGAAGTACAGATATATGATGTAGATGCAAGGTGGAGTACATCAAGGATTGTGTAAATAATAGAAGAGTAGAATGGAACGATCATATAAGTCGAATGACGACAAATAGAGTCGTCAGTAGAAAAACCACAAAAACGATGGAACGGCAACTACGAAAAACATAGAGAGTAAGGTCTACATAAGAAGAAAAAGAAGAAAACCTTGTTATCAAATTTAGAAAATCTATTTGCACGCCTTATACTTGTTTAATTGTCCCCAAATTAACTCTATACGATTGAAGACACAAAAATAGGGTGGAAGTCTCTTCTTCTTCTTATGGCGCCTATCCGTTACGGATGTTGTACACTAACATGGCTATTCTGACTTTGTTGACTTCTGCCCTGAAAAGTCCGGTAGTGGTTAAGTTAAGTTAAACCATTTTCGCAGGTTATGCAGCCAGGATATTCTTCTTCGTCCTGGACCTCTTTTCCCATGCACTTTACCTTGAAGTATGGTCCAAAGTAGGTCATCTCGTTGTTATTGCGCATTATATGGCCCAGGTATTTCAGTTTGCGACGTTTTATGGTTACGACTAGTTCGCGCTCTTTACCCATTCTATGTAGTACTTCTTCGTTGGTAACTCTGTCTATCCAGAAAATCCTCAACATGCGTCTATAGCACCACATCTCAAATGCTTCGAGTCTCTTCAGTGATGCTTCAGTTAAGGTCCATGACTCCACGCCATATAAAAGAACGGAGAATACGTAGCAATTTAGTAAACGAACTTTTATTTCCAATTTTATATCGTGGATGAAGATTTTTTTCATTTTGACGAAAGCTGATCTTGCCTCTTGTGGAATGGAAACCTGTTTCAAAGCGAATAATCACTGCAATAATTAGGACCAAATTAAGACTGGTAACACTGATTCAGTGCTATGCACCAACAGAACAAGCAACAGAACAAGAAAAAGAGGATTTCTACGAATGCCTTGAAGCAACATTAGAACAAATTAAAAGATCCGATATAAAAATAATGATGGGAGACTTCAATGCCAAGGTTGGCACTGACAACACCAACCTAGGACACGTTATCGGAAAGCATGGCACTGGCCAGAGAAACAACAACGGCGAACGCTTCATTGAATTATGTGGTAACCATGACCTAATCATTGGAGGGACTTTGTTCCCACACAAAACAATCCACAAGGTATCATGGAAATCGCCAGATAACCGCACCTACAATCAAATCGACCACGTTGCAATCAGTAAGCAATGGAGAACATCTCTCTTAGATGTCAGATCATGGAGAGGCGCAGATGCGGCCAGTGATCACTACCTGATGATGGCCGAAATTAGATTCAAAATAGCTAGGAATAGAAAAGAACTGAACAAACCTATTCGAAAAAAGTTCAACATTGAGAAACTACAAAATAACGAGACGAAAGTAGAATTCGCACGACAGCTGAGATCCAAAATCGACGAAAGACAGGACAAAAATTGGGAAACGATTAGCAAAGCCCTTGTGGAAACAAGTGAAAACGTGCTGGGCCTAAAGAAAGACGTAAAGAAAGAGTGGATTACGAGAGAAACGTGGAACAAAATAGAACGTCGCAAACACATTAATCTAGAATTACTAAATTCCAAGACAGCAGCAGAGAAGAACCGACTTAGAGAAAGTTATAGAGAAGCGAATAAAGCTGTCAAGAAGGCAGCAAAGAAAGACAAAAGAAAGTGGGCAGAAAATCTTGCCGAAGAAGCGCGAGTCGCCGATGAACATCAAAACATGAGACAATTATATAATATCACTAAACAACTAGCCAATAAAAGATATACTACCCACCAACCAATTGTAAAAAGTGCTACAGGTGAAGATATTACAACGCCACAGGAACAAGTCAAAAGATGGCATGAATATTTTAGCGAATCTCTAAGTGCAGTCCCAACACCACCAGAAGACGCAGAAAACCTAATACCCAATATCCAACTGAGAATTAACACCAACGAACCAACAACGCAAGAAATAGAAATGGCCATAGAAAAACTGAAAGCACACAAAGCAGCCGGCCCTGACAATATTCCACCAGAGTTGTTAAAAGCTTGCCCAGGTACAGTGGCAGAGCTAATCCAACCACTCTTGAAAAGGGCTTGGAGAGAGGAAAAGTTCCCCAAAGAATGGAAAACGGGATTAATAATAAAGATACCAAAAAAGGGTGACAGAAGATATTGCGAAAACTGGAGAGGAATCACACTTCTGAATACTATAAATAAATTAACAGCAATAATTATAAACAACCGACTAACAAACAGTGTAGAACCAATGTTGAGGAAGGAACAAGCCGGTTTCAGACCAAACAGATCATGCGTGGACCAAATTAACACACTAAGAATAATTGTAGAACAGTCACAGGAATTCAACTCTCCTCTCTTTGTGTGCTTTGTGGACTTCAAGAGAGCTTTTGACACGCTCACACATACGGCCATATGGAAAGCACTGCAGGAAATAGGAATACCAGAAAAAATAGTAAATCTCATCAAAGAACTCTACAGTGACACAGAAAGCAAAATCCTACACAACGGCATAACATCTGACCCAATAGCTATGCTAAACGGAGTAAAGCAGGGCTGTGTTTTATCCCCCATACTATTTAACATTGTACTGGACTCCGTACTAACAAAGGTAAACTCTAATAGAGGAATTTACTGGGGATTAACAAACAGACTGGAAGACCTAGATTACGCTGATGATATATGCCTCCTAGCACATACAAAACAGGACATGCAACTCCAAGTAAACAAAGTACAAGAAGAATCAAAGAAGGTTGGTCTAGAAATAAACATCAACAAAACCAAAGAAATGCGATTTGGTACCAGAAACAACCAACCTATTATGATCAACGACCAGAAAATTGAGAGAGTAGCGGAATTTGTATATCTGGGCAGCATAATTGACTGTAATGGGGGTACAGAGCGTGATGTACATGAAAGAATAAATAAGGCTCGCAACGCCTACAACATGCTTAACAACATATGGAAATCCAGGATTTACCCAACTAAAACGAAACTAAAAATCTTCAACACAAATGTAAAAGCTGTATTACTGTATGGCTGCGAAACGTGGAAGATATCAGCACCCATAGTACACCAATTACAAGTTTTCATCAATAGAGCGTTACGAAAAATCCTTCGTATATTTTGGCCTAACCGAATCTCCAATGAAAATTTATGGAACCAAAGCAACCAAGAAAATGTCATAAAGCAAATAAGGCGAAGAAAATGGAGATGGCTGGGCCACACACTCCGTAGACCGCCAAATGACATTGCCAGGACAGCGCTGGATTGGAATCCCCAAGGCCGACGGAAAGTAGGCAGACCTAAGGGAACTTGGAGAAGGACAGTACTGGACGAAGGGAGAAAAATGGGAAAATCCTGGCTTGAAATCAAAGCACTAGCCAGAAATAGAGTTCGCTGGAGACACTTTGTGGAAGCCCTATGTTCCTCTTAGGAATCTTGGGACTATATATATATATATATATAATATATATATATATATATATAAATATATATATATATATATAATATATATATATATATAAATATATATATATATATATTTAATATATAATTATATATTATATATATATATATATATATATATATATATATATATATATGATCTTGCCTTATCTTAATTTTTGTCGATTGGTCCTATTGTTCATTTAAATTTGCACCCAGATAAGAAAAATTGGTGATTTGTGTTATAGGTTGTTGGTTAACTAGTAATTGACCAGGTGGTATCCTATTTTTGCTTATAACCATGTATTTGTTTTTTTTTTATGTTAAAATCAAGCCCAAACCTGCTACTTACTTCTGCCACCCTGGAGACAAGTGTCTGCAGACCTTCAGGACTGTCTGAAAAAATGACAGTATCATCAGCGTATCTTATGTTGTTCAATCGTTCTCCCTTTATAAGTATTCCCTCGTCTATGTCCGTTAGCTACGTCTGGTCCACTTTGTTCTATGGATGTGAAGCCTGGACAACAAAAATAAAAAAAAACTTTGAAAAATAAGACTATTATCGAGCACAAGTTAATTAAATCTAGCCCAAGTACTTTCGCTTAAAATAGCATCTTCAGGGGCATCTGAAATAAGCCAAGAAAACGTTTTATGTTAATGGATGAAAAAAAAAGATTTTCGATTTTTATCGAAGTTAACTAATTTCCTTCATCTAAAAAACGTTTTCTTGGCTTATTTCAGATGCCCCTGAAGATGCTATTTCAAGCGAAAGTACTTGGGCTAGATTTAATTAACTTGTGCTCGATAATAGCCTTATTTTTCAAAGTTCATTTATTCGAGCATTCAACCTCATTTCAATTAAAAATAAAAAATCCTAACAAATTAGAAGCGTTTGAGTTATGGTGTTACCGTCGCATGCTCAGAATCCCGTGGACAGTACACATATCTAACGAACGTGTGCTAGAGACCGTGCACAAAGAGCGAGCATTGATCAACATCATCAAAATGAGAAAGGTCCAATACTTCGGTCATATAATGAGAGGACCTAAATATCGCTTACTCCGGTTAATCATTCAGGGCAAAATCGAAGGAAAACGTTGGGTCGGAAGAAAACAAATGTCCTGGCTGCGTAACATTAGACAATGGACAGGTCGAACGGTC